ATATGTAGTGTATGCTTCTTAAATCTCTTATTTAAAAACGTTCTTGCTTGTACATAAACATATCAGGCTATATTTAATTTTCAAACAAAAGTATTAAACATCTGTTGGATAGTTTAAGATACACACTAAATAAAAATGCGTCGGATTTTTGTGTTGCAAAATTTTGTGTCGTGCCACTGCTGAGAGAATTGTGTTGCTCTTCAATGTGTCGGGAAAATGTGTCGGGAAAATAAATGTGTCGTAATATTATATAGGTTCGCTATAGTAGTGATGGATGATTTTCACTAAATAAAAACCTTTGAAATTACATTTAAGATCTATTTATCATCACTTCGTTGTATGAAAAATAGAGTATAATGCAAATAAAAAATATTTGGATTTTATCAACCCTATTGGCTACGTAGCGCATTGTGTTCTATTTATGAACCATTCACATAAGTTCGCTGTGCATTGTTTCTGTCTCTATGTTAGACCGTTATCTATTCACATATAAAATTGCTTGAACAATAGGTTCCTTATGAAATTCAACTATGCACTAATATTTTAATTTTAGATAGAAATAGACAATATTTTAAATTTATATTGTCATGTTATGTGATAGAAAAACAAGACATATATTTAGAAACTATGTCACTTATAGTTTTAATGGTTTTAGATAAAATTGAATTCTTTAATATAGGAAATGAACTCAACAATGCCGATTACTTCAAAAACCAATAATTCAACTCATAGTATGACATATGCTACTCGTTTTAATTATTCATTCTACTTTGATGCTATATGTTAAGGTTTATGTGAACTTCAAAAACAAATATTTATTTGCCCAATTTGTAAAATTTCGTGTGATTCTCTTACTTCTTGTACTAAACACATGCAATCATATCATTCTTCTACACACAAAGTTGTTGTGCCATGTCCATATTGTCCTGAAACTTTAACACAAGTGCGAAGCTGGAAGAGACATATACTTAAAGTGCATTACAGTAGAGTGAGTTATTGTAATTACATGCAAGATTCATATTTTCCTGATTCATTTAAAAATAGATAGTTCAACAGCATGCTGAAAATGATATCACTGTAATTGCTGATAATACAGATCACTCGACAGTAGCTGAAGCTGATGTCAACCTGAATGTTCATGTGGTTAATGATGAAAATGATTCATCCAATGATGAAAATTATTCCATATCAAATAACCGTAGCCCTATTCCTGAATATACTAATGATTTAAGTCATGGTAGCATACAAATATTCCACAAAACTGAAGAACGATTGAGATTAAATGTTCTACGTTTACTAATAAACTTGAAAAGTAACAATGCAACAGAAGCGTGCATCGATGTATGCTCAAAAGATCTTATCAATGTCTTGAATGAGTATAAGGATCTAGACGTATGGTTTTTCTCAAAAATTCACATATTAATAATATATACATTCATTTAGACGAACATCTATTTTCACAACATCAAAAAAGCTATTGAAACGGCTACTTGTAGAAATAAATTTATATCTAGTCATATCGACGTTATTCGGCCAAAGTCAATCATATTGGGTCAATCGGTAAGTTTATTAGTATTTAATAAGTAAAATCTGCCATAATAGTTTTGTAGGATAGCTAGCGATAATTGATGGAAAGGTGAAATATAACACAAGACTTTATAAAACTAAAAGTTGACACAAGTCATAACACTGAGGTGGAAGTGAGGTAGTGCAGTCTAATGTCATGCTCGAGTCGAAGTTTCTTAAATGACATAGTTGAATTTAAAGTCATAAAAATACCAATGTTTCTCACTATAATGAATATCTATATTTTTTTATTTTAGAATGCCTTTAGTAAAAAGAAGCAAAGGCATGTACTTCGTATCCATAAAGCTCAATATATTCCTTTTAAAGAATCGCTTATCAACCTTCTCAAGAAACCAGAAGTTTATGAATCATTAAATTGTCCAAGTCGTGCGAACATTATGACTGACCTGTCTACGGGATCATTTTGTGATCAGCATCCTGTATTCAAGTTACCTGATAGCTTGAAAATAATTTTGTTCTACGATGACATTGGCATTAACAACCCTCTTGGTACACGAACAAAGTCAGTTGGCATGTTTTATTGGACATTAGCTAATCTACCTAGGTGAGTGGATATCTTTCCAAGCAAGAATATTATATATACATGCAATTCATTGATATCTTACCATAGATTTGTACGTAGTCAAGATAGATGTGTGTTTTTACTGGCTTGTATTGAAAAGCAACACTTAAAACAATATGGATTTACGATTGTATTGGACGATTTTTTTCGCACAATCGAAGAACTTCAAACTCATGGCATTCCAGTCACGATCAACGAAAAAATTCACATTTTTAAAGGATCACTTTTACTTATTTGCGGTGATATACTCGGTGAGATATGGTTTTCATGACAGTTAGATTCAGTTTTTCACGATACTTTCTTTAGGCCTCTCACAAATGCATGGGTTTAAGTGTGCTTTTCGATTGGGTCGAAAACCATTCTTTTATTGTGACGTTAATCAAGATACTATAAGAAGAATAAATAAAGGTAGTGAATGTCATCTACGAAAATTAGAAAAGTACGATAAAAATTGTATGGCAATCGATTTTGCAAACGAACGAGAAAAAGCGAGACTACAGAAAAAATATGGTATTATTTCATTGTCTCCATTTCGGAAAATTAACAATTTCGATATTTTCCACCAAACAGGTATTGATATTATGCACGTATTGCTTGAAGGTAATTATTTCATATCGCTGATAAGATTATCTCGATTTTCCATGCTCAATTTAAGGAATATGTCAACGTGAACTGAAATTACTTTTAAAACATATTCAGCAACAGAAATTTGCTAATCTTTCTTCACTTACTTCAATGATTCGAAATTTTCAATATGGCTGTAATGAGCCATCTCCATCAGACAAATTCAATCTTTCATCTGAAGATAATGAGGTAAGACGTCTTGTTTTTAGAACATAGTCTTCGTTTATGTTTTAGCTTTTTTCTCAGAAAAGCATGGCCATGTAGCTTTGACAAAGAGATATTTTGTTTAATTTCTAAAAAATGTTTTCAAATCACATGCTGCCTCAAAAATTGTCCTAATATTAATTAATAGTTCAATTTAATGTCTACATAGGAATTTGATTGATCCTAATCGTATCATCGAAAAGAATATAATTATATAGTCTTCTATTTATACCTCTGCAATATTATCGATCTTTTCTTTGTTACATTTAACACTGTAGCGTGTAACTTATTACTATATCACTTGAGCTAAAGAAGTATTGATTTATGTAACATTCACTCATTCTATCTTTAAGAAGTCGAAAAGTTAAATTCTGTTATTTTCTTCCCTTAATGTGTCACATTGGAAAACAACTTTTTAAAATTCTAGGTCAAGTTTCGTGCATCAGCCAGCGAAATGTTATCTCTTTTTAAATATATGCCATTTATTTTTCATCAATCTCATCTTACAGAATTAATATCTGCATCAGTAGGTTGGCATTCATTTCTTTTACTTCGTGAAATCATCTCCATCTCATTGGCTTCTGAAATTGATATTACAACTATTGAAAAGCTGGAAGAATTGGTCACTCGGTATTTAATCACATTTGATAATGCTTATGGTTACGTACAACGAATTCCAAAACATCATTTATTAGTTCATTTTGGTGAACAGATGCACCGATTTGGACCGTTAAGATTTACAAGTTGTATGATATTTGAGAAAAAACATAGTTTTTTCAAAAGAATAAAGTATCGTAATTTTCGAAACATTGCATTCACATTAGCTGATCGTCATCAACATTATATTGCATCTTTAATGTATACCTGTTCTAATGCAGCGACATCATCATTTCTTTATAGTGGTCATCAAATCAAAAAAGTAAAAGAATTAGATAGCTCCGCTGCTAAACAGCATTATTTGCTTGACATGGAAAAGAATTTATATGAAACTAATCAGGTAACGCTCTTCGGAATCACCTATGTTGTTGGAGAAGCTGTTCTTATCAATGATTCGGTATTTCCGATTGATCCTGTTTTTGGAAAAATCCTCACTATTATCGTTCAAGACAAAATTATACTTCTTCGTCTTCAGTTAATGCAAGTTATTGTGTTTAACCAAAAATTATGTGTCTATGAAGTACGTCTACTCGATTCGTCTGTAACAAAGAATGTATATGAGTTGAAACATGTGTGGCCTGTTAGACTATTGAAAATCTCCAAATCGTTATTCACCAGTTTATTCCCATATGGACGTTCTTATCTTACCTCAAATGAATGATTATATTATAACTTATTTAATAATGTGCATATTTTTATTTATCATAGATTTTGAACATCGCTCATTATCAAGAATGAACAATTAAAAAAAGAATACCTATAACAGTATTTCCGTGGTTGATCAGTTTTTAGAATAGGATTATTCGGAAATTTTCTAGATGTATCTAAAAGATTGTTGTTTATGGGTAACCTTTTTGATTGTACCATTGATTTTCTTCTCAGACAATGCCAGATTCAGATAAGAAAGTATAATAGTCTTTATTTTGATCAATTAGAATTAAAGGCACTACCCATTCTCTTAACTTAGATTTCTCAATCACTTTTACATATCCATTAAAAGTTATCGTCTGCTTTAACTTTCTTCTTCAAAATATGAATCGTTTCACTTAGCAGATAGCTTTTATGATTATTTTTATTACAGTGATCGTTAATATCTTTTCAGATATCGTTTTTATTACAGTGATCGTCAATGTCTTTACAGATGTCGTTTTTATTAACTGGTCTTGTTCAGTATGGTGATGAAACAGAGCTGGTCGATGTTTACGTTGGTTCCAGCTTAGCTGATGTACATGCTCAATTAGTAGCTCCCTTTGGTCTTGATCCCAATGAATGTACTATACAAGTTTTCGAATCAAAAATATTCAACGAATATATTAATCTTTCAAAGATTTCTTTAATAACAAATATGGATTCTGGTCGTTTTCGGATTATGCTAAAAAAGGTATTACATTGATTTTTTTCTTCTAAATGGTGGAAATTTTTACTTATAGGTTGATTTACTAAGAACACAAAATACACCAACTCGTTCTCATACATCTCAAATACTTTCTAATCGTGAAAATGCATCACCACTTCATTTAAATCATTCACAAACTTCATCAAGTCATCTCGATTCATTGCAGGTTGAAAATAATCATTAATTATACGCAAAATTTCCAACCGACCCGTTTTTTTAGGATAACTTGTCCGTCTCATATAAAGATCATTTAGATCAAATGAGCTTTGACGATGAAAATGATAGTCCACAAATGCAATCGTTCGATTCGGTCGAATCACCTACTATATGCCAACGAGAGAGTAAAGGAAAACGTGATTTGGTAATTAGACATCATCTTAATAATATGATTTCATGAAGGAAGACTTTAATTACGAATTTCTATTTTCTTTAATGATATGCATAATTATAATATCGGATTTTCTGAAGTAAAAAAGCAGTTTTATTTTGATTCATTGTGTGTTTTAGGATAAATTACGTGATCTACCACCTTTAATTTCATCTAATATGTTGCCATCGTTTCCAATTCGAATTAAATCTGCAATTTCTACAGGTAATGAGAATACCAAATGTATTCATAGTTTGATAGATTATTTTAAACACGTAGGTTTGTTGAATTCTGTAATTCAAGAAGTAGTCAATATCATGGCACATCATTTGGTCAAATTCAATGTTTCTTCAAAAACACATTATGCTCAAATTCGTATTGCATTTGTTAAAGAAAACTCAATGAATGAATTCAGAGATAATCGAGATCTTGTTCGTTCATTATCATTCATATGATGAAGGTACTAGATAGTCATTCATTTTCCATTTAGGATCTTCTTATGCAAAAACTATCTCGTCGAATACGTGATTTGAGAAGTCACACAAAGAAGGAAACATATCGTAGCAGACCACTTCTCGATTGGGATAGTAGTCGTTTTTCAGATTGTGTAAGTCAGGCAGATCCATCAACTACCAATGAAATCGGGATTGGTAAGTGAATATGTCGTATGTATACATATATATGATGAATCAAATTTTCATTAACAATAGCTGATTCAACTCAACTGAAGGAATTTATTAAAACATTAAATGATGCGTTCAATAACAATGAAATGATGAAAGGTACAACAACTCAAATAATTGTTGAATCGTTTCGTCTTCGTCGTAGTTATTTACAACTTGGTCAAACTGTGGAACAGATTTTAAATGAAATGCGTTTTACACAACATATCATCTTTGTAAGTCTGTTGTTTTTTCATTTAAGTTATATATTTCTTTTTTGCTTTCAAAGATAAAATTGGAATTCGAACTTGTTACCAAAATATCATTATTGGTAGCTACTCAACGAATTAGAAAATTTCTCGATAATATTATTTCATATGAAATGTATGGTCAATTACCAGAAGAACGTGTATGTACGATTAACATTAAGACAGTAACTGTACGAAATTTTCAAACTTGCTTGGAACATAGCTATATCGAAAACTATTCTCTTGATTTTTATCAGCTATTGGCTAATGAGGTATTCAGTCATACTCCAGTTTGCATATAAGAATGCATGAGATATCTTCGTTTCTTTACAAACAATAACTCAAATTTATTATTCTTAGGACGAAGTTTCGTTTTCTTTGCTAACCTGGATTTGATTTGATTAGAGAAATAAAAATAAAATAATGTTTTCTTTTACTCTGATCAAACCTAAATATAAAAAATTATAAATACTTTATTGACTTATTTAGAGAGATGAAGAATTATTGAGACGCATCATTGCTCGTATAGGAGCACGTTATAGAAACATAATCATAAATGAAACGGTTTGAATAATTAAATTTGAATAGTTTTATCAATGCCTCTAATTCTTTGTCAAAAAAAAATATGTCTAATTACATATATGCTTGCGATTGATTTTATTTTGCTTTTCATACTTTACATATTATTTAACAAAAAGTATATTCGGATTATTTTTCATGTTAAATAATTCTTTCTTTTTAATATTTTAGTTTCCTGATGAAGTCGGTACGATCGATCTCATTCCATTACTCAAGAATGACAATTTATATCCATTACTTTATTCTTGCAGTCACCACAATCAAGCCTATTTTTATTTAACATATGCTAAACAAATATTAATGGATTTCGATACTGAAACTAACGTGGCGTATGCTTTAGCCATCTTATTGGCTACTTATTATGTATTTGATATAAAATATCCACGACACAACAAGCCGATCCTCGAAGTACTTGATTATATCGCACTTCAAGATAGTGTTACCGATACGAGGATGAAAACTTCACTTTTAAAAAAGCTAACCATATCAGCTCAGAGTGTTATAACTGAGTATGAGAAAAAATTGTTGACTTAGATTTATTTTTTGTAATGATTTTCTAGAAAAACATTATTAATAAATAAAGTTGTTTTAAAATTATTTGATTATTTAAAAAAATATTAAATGAAATCAACCGATATTTGTGGTTAATTTCTTAAATAAAAGAAATTAGTGAATGAACGAGGTCCGTATATTCAAGAATCGTAAAAAAACGCCCAGGGCTGGATTCGAACCTCTACTAGATAATGTGACGGATGTGTCGTGCACAAATGTGTCGTACCCTTGCTGGGCAGAATGTGTCGCAACGAGCACCTCATGTCGTACTCGAATGTGTCGTGCATTGTGTCGTAGTTTACGACACATCCGACACATTTTTATTTAGTGTGTGAGAATGAAAATAAGTAGTTGATAATGTATTGAGGTCGTATTTGAAAAAAGAAATTTAATATATTAACTTATTTT